CCCCCCCACCACCACCACCACCACCACCTCCACGAACGACTGACACACGTTTCCCCCACTCTGGGGGGACAAACGGTCGTTACTGTTTTTGACTCGTACCCTTAATAGTATTTTGTATTATGCTTCCGAGATCTGGGGTTTTCACAAATCACCCGATGTAGAAAAAGTACATCTCAATTTTTGTATGAAGTTGTTAGGGGAAGGTAAAAACACTTGTAATGATTTGGTTTATTGTGAGCGGGGTAGAATTCCTCAAATAATACAAAGAATTTTAGGGATTTTTAGATACTGGCTTAAGGAGAAACAGAGTGACAATTGTATATTAAAGTCATGTTATGATGAATGAGTTAATGTAAATGATGTCTGGATAGTTCATATTAAGCATGAGTTGTCTAGTATTGGTTTGGAATAAACGTTCGAAGACAATTTATCTGTTAATGTTGCTTTTAAGATTATAGAACAAAGAATTTTAGATAATTGTAGACAGAAGATGATAGCAAATTTATCAAGGTCATCTAAAGGTTATTTATACCAGCACCTCGTTGATAATGTTTGTCTTCAATTGTATGTAAATCTATAGAACCTAAGTTCAAACGCCTTATTAAATGTTTTACATTGTCGTCTCATAATTTAAATATTGACGTAGGTAGACGGATCAACGTTGTTCGATAGAACAGATCATGTACTCGCTGTGCTTCTGGTGATATAGAAGATGAATTTCACTTCATCCTAAAATGTCCATTATATCAAGACCTGAGATATAAATATATCCAGCGATTCTATGACGGAAGTCCTAATGTTTTTAAGTTAACGAAGTTATTGAGTACTAATAATGTAAAAGAATTATGCAATCTAGGAAAGTATTTATATTGTGCGTCGAGAAAACGTAGAGAAATCAATGTCTGATATGGAAAACTACTTGTGTGCTTGGTAAGGTCACTCTCCACTTTATCAATTTAAAGTTGTATAAAAATCTCTTGTACATGTACTATGTGATGTAATTGTTTGATATTCAACCTATGAGTCGGATGGCTCTTGGTAATATAGAAACTGAACTGAAACTGAAACCTACATGAACCTAGAGAAAAAGTTACCAACGCGGCATCAATTTATGAAGCGAAACCAGGGAAACGTCATAAATTTATGAAGCGAAACCAGGAAAGCGTGTCATCAATTTATGAAGCGAAACCAGGGAAATGTCATTAATTTATGAAGCGAAACCAGGGAAGCGTCATCAATTTTGTCACACTTTTCATATGCTTCTGATGGTGCGGACATTTGATTCACGCTACTTATTTTACGTGAGAGAAAATCAATTTCACGCTGACAGAAAATCTCAATCATCGTGATTAGATTGTTGAAGTTTACCTCTCGGCAAAGCTTCATGCTAACTTAATAAAGCATACAATGGGTCTGGGACTGCTTTGTTTACATTACATAGAACCCGTGCAGGTTCTGAGAAGTAATAGGCCTGCTGTGTCCCACTACATAGCCGTAAGAGGCGACTAATGTGCCCCCTCCCCCTGTATAGAATCGGAGGTGGCTACTTTCTTGTCTTCTGTATACCGTCAGTGTGCCCCAAACGGGACATTTTTCAATCAAATATTGGTGTATTCTATATCATTGTATCAATTCAAAAACTGATTGTTAATTTTTCGTTAATAGATACCATTCACTGTTGGTGTTTTTTTAATTACAAGTTGATATTTCCGGTACGGGGTTGTATAAATAGAACGCGAAATACTAATAGGGTCATGTGTAACTGTATCCTGAAAGGGTCATTTTTTGGCAAGTTTTGGGGGATACACGATCACCATAAACAGAAAAATTGCAAATAGTTCAAATATTTTAGAGTCAAAGGAGAATTTGGTAAACTTTCTTCTCCAAACAAGCATTATAGTTAAAAAAAAATAAGCTTCTGGAAATGATATCCAAATAGATAACGTCACATGACATGTACATTAAGAAAAGTGTGTTAACTTTAAACTGTCCGAATGACCGTAATAAACAGCCAGTAAAGCCGACATACAGTTATGGACATACAGAATCGGTGTTGTTTTTTCTATGTCCCCTTCGTTAAGGACATTGGAGAGACCAAAATCGATCTGCTGCCCCTATTGTAACACTCTAAAACTTTTTTCGTTTTCTAGACATCCTGTCTTCCTCCTTTTCGTCCTATACTTTTCTTTCCAGAATTTGACCCAATCGGGAACCGTCGGCACTTTCCGTAAACGTGTACGGAAAGTGCCGACGGTTCCCGATCGCAGATGACCCTGGCTGTTGTGAGGACGTTAAACCACAAACAAACACATCACATAGAAGTGATTGATTCTTTTAAGCTTTCCCATTAGGCAGAGAAAGCAACACTTCCGATGAGGAAAAAATGATGTGTCTGTCTTACATTTAGGTATTGTCATGGACATTTCACAGTCATACCAATTGTATGACGTTACGTCAACATTAGCAGATCATGAAAGATAACGCATTAGATTTACAGTAAAAAACAATTTAACCACTTAATTTAAGGTTTGAGACAAATAAACATTCGCTACTTTTGGAGCGAGACAGAAACCATCCTTTATCCTGTTATTTAATCTGTTTATTTCCTTTCATAGAAGAATAATTAATTTCCAAATATATAAAATTCTAAAAGCACTGCTATTGTGTAAACATATACATAACGATAAAAATTGTCATTGATTTATATAGCCCACACGTGTCATTCTGTTGATTAATTCGATTATGAAGAAAATTGGGAAGAAACTGAGCATTCCCTATCTTGATTGTAGGAAATAGAAATATGCATCCTTGGAGGAGATATTTGATAGTCTTAACCGCAGCTGAAGCCGCCTCGGGTTAAAAAGAAGAAATTACAACGAACTTCATGTATATTCTTTAACGTTCAGTATATTAACCATGTAAAATAAACCAGACTCTCCCAACCCCATATATCCCTCTTTTAGAACGTCTGCCCATAACTACCATATCATAACAATGCCCCTAATGGTGTTTTCTATCCCCTGCATGGCCGAGACATGCCAGAGTCTGTAAAATGGTAGTTTCTACTCCTGCTTAACGCTCAGCAATTTAGGAGTGGGACGCCTGGTTCACCCGTTGTCAGTATAATGTGACCGGGTGGGGTGTCCTGCTTGGTGTCTTCGGCAGTATGTTTCAGTAAGGTAGCACTATTAAGTCGGCAATCAGAAGGAAACAAACACTTACATATCGCAGCCTCCTAAAACACTTAAATGACCATAGCCGTTGATAGGACGTTAAACAATACTAAACCAAACCAAACCAAAACAATCATCTTCAATTTCATTTTTATTTCGTTCACATCTTCGTTCACAAATAAGATTTTGACGGTAAAGAAATCTTACAGTTGTTGATTGTCTCAAGACTGGTCAGTGTGCTCTTTTATACATTGGTTTTTATAGTTTTAAAACCCAGTAGTTTGCATTTTTCTCTCAATAACATGACGACAGATGCTATAAATAAAACCTAAGTTATCTAACTTTTTTGCACATAGTATGATATTTTAAATTATATTTTATGTTCAATCGTAGCAGACTAAGTTTTGCTAGACATGTTACACATGATTAAAATGGATCAGAATGTATGTAAATGAACCATAATTTACATAGATTTATATTTATATATTACCGTACTGACATCTATTTATTGAATGTTTGGCCATTGTATCCTTCAATTAGGGCGGGATATTTAACGTCACTGTATGTATAAAAACAGTAGCTAGCTTACCGTTTATTTGTTGTCGTCAGAAGGAACTATCATTTTGTTTTTGCAATGAATAAATAAAACTGATGACATCAGAACTTCCAATTTCAAACTCTAAATATTTCATTAGCGAAAAGCGAATTAGAGGTACATAATAGCGGTACCCGAAATGATGATCGTTATAAAAGGCATGCTAGTGAAAGGTTACTTTATATTTGGGAATTAAATCATATTTTCTTTAAAATGAAACTTAGTTTTTGAAAACTAGTCGTGAGTACAGTGTTCTGACATTGCAAGGGAAATAACTCTAACGAAAATCAAAAGTATACGATTTGTAATTCGGTTTGATTTTAAGAAACCAGAGCAAACCAAGAACGAAAATGTATATAGATTTATTTGGTAAAAAACTATTGTTCAACAAAGTACTAACAAAGAATAATTTAATCTTTAAATAAAAAATTGAACTTTAACAAATCACAAGAGTCATAAACAATTTCTTTGATATACTAGAGTCCCATATCACAATCAACGACGCGACACAAGCATCGTTATCCATGTGTCCCGTACACCAAGCCTCATGTGACATGTACACCGCGACTCACGTGCCCCGCAACATGGCCAACATGTCCCGTGCAAAATGTCTGAAGTTACTTGACGCCTGAGATTTTATTGCATCCGTTTCACATCAGAAAGATGTGACAGATTTTATTGCACAAATTGTATATTATCTATTCAGTAATAATAAAGTCACATGCATCTTTTAGAAGCATTTCCTGTGGACAATGGAGGGGCCAGACTCGTCGTATTCCTGTTTGCTGATCCACATCTGTTGGAAGGTGGACAGAGAAGCCAAGATGGAGCCACCGATCCAGACGGAGTATTTCCTCTCTGGTGGAGCAATGACCTTGATTTTCATGGTGCTGGGAGCCAAAGAGGTGATTTCCTTCTGCATACGGTCAGCGATACCAGGGTACATGGTGGTACCACCGGACATAACGATGTTCGCGTACAGATCTTTCCTGATGTCTACATCACACTTCATGATGCTGTTGTATGTGGTCTCGTGAATTCCTGAGCATTCCATTCCCAAGAATGATGGCTGGAACAGAGCCTCGGGGCACCTGAACCTCTCGTTGCCAATGGTGATGACCTGGCCGTCGGGAAGTTCGTAGCTCTTCTCCAGAGATGAGGAGGAAGCTGCTGTGGACATTTCCTGTTCAAAGTCAAGGGCAACATAAGCCAACTTCTCCTTAATGTCTCTGACGATTTCTCTCTCGGCGGTGGTTGTGAATGAGTAACCACGCTCTGTGAGAATTTTCATGAGGTAGTCTGTAAGATCACGTCCGGCAAGATCCAATCTCATAATGGCGTGGGGAAGCGCATAACCTTCGTAGATTGGGACTGTGTGGGACACACCATCCCCAGAATCCAACACAATACCGGTAGTACGACCTGAGGCGTACAGGGACAACACAGCCTGGATGGCTACATACATGGCGGGGGAGTTGAAGGTCTCGAACATGATCTGTGTCATCTTTTCCCTGTTGGCTTTGGGGTTGAGGGGGGCCTCTGTCAGGAGGACAGGGTGTTCCTCTGGAGCCACACGGAGCTCGTTGTAGAAGGTGTGATGCCAGATCTTCTCCATGTCGTCCCAGTTTGTGACGATTCCGTGTTCGATAGGGTACTTGAGGGTAAGGATACCTCTCTTGCTCTGGGCCTCATCACCGACATAGCTGTCCTTCTGTCCCATACCAACCATCACTCCCTGAAATGATACAGTAAAATACATTAACACCACACTCAAAATAATAATCATGTCGTAATTCGTTATTGTACAATGTATTATTTGTTCATGGTATACAATTTAGACCAAGTTTACATGTATACAATCACACGTATACATATATGTAACATGTTTATACGTATACACTGTATAACGTATAATGTATATACTATAAAGGTTCAAACGTATACAATGTAGACCATGTTTACACTATACAATGTATAACAGGTTCAAATGCATTTACAACACCGTCCTTACGTTTACAATATACATGATTTACAAGTAATACCCTGTATTAGCATGTTCATATGTACAGTGTACACAAAGTATTGGATAGTTATATTGGTACAATGCTTTACATATTCATACAAAGTGTATAAGAAATTCATCAAACACATATTAGTTTATTATTAGTATTCTAACAATGACAATCGGCAGGATGATGATGATGATAGATCTACAAATATTGGCTAGAAATACGGGAGTGATCGGTATTGGAATACTGACAAAATAGAAATAGATCACCGGTGATTTCGGGAGGGGGATAGGTCGGGGAGGGGGATAGGTCGGGGAGGGGGAGCGGAGCTACATTTAATTCCTCATACATGCGGCATGCTTTCTTTTGGACAGGTACAGCTTTAAATGTCATTGACCGAATATTCCATAATTTTATATTAATCAATAATAATANTCGGGGAGAAGGAGCGGAGCTACATTTAATTCCTCATACATGCGGCATGCTTTCTTTTGGACAGGTACAGCTTTAAATGTCATTGACCGAATATTCCATAATTTTATATTAATCAATAATAATATATGTCGTGGGATCACAGGGTTAATATTCCTTCACACAACAGTTAGACAATTTTCAAGAAGAAAAAATGGCTGTTCAGGATAGCTAAATTTCCAATAAATAAAGTGTACATTCGGTAGCACAGTTTAGAGTTTCAAAAAAATAAAGGTTACTTTGACCGAACTACACTTGCACTAAGTCCAGATGAGAACATTTAATACAGTGCTATAAAAAGAGTCATCTCCTGTCTTTATAGATCATTTTTAGTTAGACACAGCTTGTAGGGATCTGCAATATTGCTTTTAAATAGTGACTTTTGTAACTGTTAAAATATTAACGAATTTTATTTAGTTAGTCATTTTTTTTCAAGATCGATCTCCAGTAGACGCCTCTCAAATGTCAAAGTCTGCCTGTAGCATTATAGTACAATGTCATGTGACTGGTACATGTAGGGGTAGGCGTATACCACTTGTATAGCCTATGGGGTGTATGTGTAATACACTTGTACATCTAGAAATCCGAACTAGTATCGTGTAACAGCATCTGATACAATTAACATCAGCTGACAGCATGTCAGCACACGTGAACTTACGCCTCCCCTGCCGATAACGTATCGCGATCCGCAGTGTGGTGGGCGTCTACTCATGTGACGGGAGATAACTCTAATTCAAAATGTAACCAAGGTATAGAAATGGGGGCGTGGACCAGTCTTTTAAAGAAATTAATTTAACTTGATTTTAACGTGATCAAAGCTACAATAATGCACATGACTAGTTAAAATAGACATGAAGTTGTCACACCTTAAGTTTGCCTTTCATATTGTAGTTAAAAGATACAAAGATAATATAAAGTTGTGGGGAAACATGTGACAAATAATCATAAAGTTGTTCAATGATAATAAAGCTAACCTGATGTCTTGGCCTTCCGACAATGGAGGGGAATACAGCACGTGGAGCATCATCACCGGCAAATCCAGCCTTACACATTCCGGACCCATTGTCCACAACTAAAGCGACAACATCATCATCAGCCATGTTTGTTGTTTAGCTTGTGTGTAGGTATAATAATAGGATGTTACTTCTCCGCGGTCTAGGACACTAGTGAACGAACAGGTTCCCGAGAGCTTTATTTTATGCTGCTCGGCGAGATTTTCCGCGAATACTGTGCTGATTAGATGAAACATTGCCTTATTTGGAAATACCTGATGTCCATATTTGGTGTTCAGTACACTACGACGGTGTATGCACAGGGAAACGCGTTTTGTTATCTACACAGCACCAACACCTATCGATGATAACCTACTATTACAAGCTTATATCAGGTCGTGCAGGGTACAGAATCAGTACATTACGGCGCCCTCAGTGACTTACATAGGTCACACCAACTTTATCAGTCGATTGAACGAATGTTGATGCAGTAATACTGGACCATACGAACCAACGTTTATAGTCGAAGAAAGTGAAACTAATTGAAAGAACAAACCAAATATGTATGATTTGACATGTTAATACATTTTTCGCGGTAGATTCCTATTGAGTTGTTTGATTATTTCGCCAAGCACATTTCAGTTTATAAATAATACCAGTGGTCGCTATCTGTTTTTAGTTTTCGTTGCAGTCCATTCTAAGTAGCGGGTTCCAACTTACCTTACAGTTCTATTATCTTTTACACGGCTAGACTGCAGATTTTTTTCTGATGATTGTTTTGCTCTTTGAAAAGTTTATGGACAACTTGGGTCAGCATTGCAGTGCCAATCTATCAAGTAAACGACTAACGAACATTTTTCTTTTTGCATTCTTCTCTTGACAAAGGAAACAGACGTTTTCGAAATCTCGTTAAATAAGTTTTCAATTCCTGTTGGTGTTCAAAACAAACTTAGCCTTTAACTAAAGAACATTGTATATATGTTCAGCTAAAAAATGAATGAATTTCAAAATGGAGATTTTCAGTATTTCTGTAATTTTTCCATATTTCTAAAAGCCCTTTAACTCGATCAGGTCTAAATAACATCTAATTGCTGCAGAAGTATTGACATTTTACAACTTTAGTGTGTTATGTCTCATTGCAATTAAAAATAAATCAGATAAAAATGCGTATGTGATATTTTCATAGAATATTATATGAAACATCCGCAATATGATAGGTTTTCAAGTGTACTTCACACACACATTTAAATATATATTTCTGAGAATTAAGAGATATACATTTTTTGAACGTCACGTTTACTTGTTATCAGTACTGATGCAGTTTCCGTAATACAAATTGTGTGACTAACTTAATAACAAATAAATTCGTTTTCCATTTTTAAATGAGAAAAGTTTTGAAAAGGAAAACGATGTTTCTTTAATTTATTATTAAAAAATACTGAAAAATCCTGGTCCTTTCCCCAAACAGTGAATATTTTATTGATAAAAGAATGTGTTGTATCTCTATACATATCTGAGTATAGATTTGAAGTAAAACTTCGTTATACTGCCAACATTTGTACTGAGAAATTTTGACGTTATAAAGGGGTTCAGCGATAAATTGAGGAAAATTTATAAAGGAATTCTTCGGAAACAAATTAAAAGGGACACTAAAATATGTTAGTGGTAATTAAACGAGGGGCATTATATCGAGGTTTTAACAGTATGTCATTATATCATTACTAAAGGGTTGATATATTGGATACGATAAACGGTTTATAATCAGTGTCAATTGATTGTTACACGGTACGGTCAATGATTTTGGCTTTCAATAGCGTCAAATAACACTACACGAGGCTAGTAATTTTATGTATGTCTAAGTTATTCCTGGTCTGGTTGTTTGATCAGGCGAATGTGCTATTACTCTGATGTAAACGATAACGTAGATAACACATAGCCAAAACTGTTCATCATTCTAATAACACTTTGTTAATCATCAGGTGAAAAAGTCCGTACCTGGACAAGTGAAAATGATACCATATTATCCCTGTTTTGATCGTGAACGTGCTGATAGCGTGAGGCCAGAACACGCCGTTTCATTGTCTAATCAGATACAGGAACAGGTACATGCTATCACACAGAGCCCACTCAATGTCCGTCTGTTATCGCAAATATTTCCCGGTCAGATAAGTATATCTCATCCACACATGCTTGCCATGTATACCGAATATGGCATCCTGCTTACAAACAATGTAATAATAACTCAATATGAGTAAAAATACGTTATTTGTCATTTGTGAACTTGTGCATCAGTACAAAATTAATAACAAACAAAACCATGTTTAAAATCATCACTGTCAATGATGTAAGAACTTTTAAAACAATATACATCCGTAACGATGCCACATCACTAGCCACTATGACACGTCTATAACTATTCCACATCAGTAACAACCATGACACGTCTATAACCATGCCACATCAGTAACCACCATGACACGTCTATAACCATGCCACATCAGTAACCACCATGACACGTCTATAACCATGCCACATCAGTAACCACCATGACACGTCTATAACCATGCCACATCAGTAACCACCATGACACGTCTATAACCATGCCACATCAGTAACCACCATGACACGTCTATAACCATGCCACATCAGTAACCACCATGACACGTCTATAACCATGCCACATCAGTAACCACCATGACACGTCTATAACCATGCCACATCAGTAACCACCATGACACGTCTATAACCATGCCACATCAGTAACCACCATGACACGTCTATAACCATGCCACATCAGTAACCACCATGACACGTCTATAACCATGCCACATCAGTAACCACCATGACACGCCTATATCCATGCCACATCATTAATCACCACGCCACGACTTTAACCATACCACATCAGTAATAACCATGTCACGCATATAACCATGCCACATCAGTAACAACCACATCTCGCCTAAGACCATGCCATATCAGTAACAACCACGTCACGCCTGTAACCATACCACATCTGTAACAACCACATCTCGCCTGTAACCATACCACATCAGTAACCACCATGACACGCCTGTAACCATACCACATCACTTACCATCACGTCACGCCTATAGCCATACCACATCATGATCAGTAACAACCATGTCACGCCTATAACCATGCCACATCACTAACCACCATGTCACGCCTATAACCATACCACATCAGTAATAACCATGTCACGCCTATGTCCATGCCACATCAGTAACAACCATGTCACGCATATAACCATGCCACATCAGTAACAACCATGTCACACCTATAGACATGCCACATCAGTAACAACCATGTCACACCTATAGACATGCCTCATCAGTAACAACCATGTCACGCCTATAACCATACCACATCACTTACCATCACGTCACGCCTGTAGCCACACCACATCATTAACCCTTCCACATTAGTAGCCACGCCGACATCAGTAACCATACCAAATCATTAACCATATGACATCAGTAACAATATCTTATCTGTAATCATCCCACATTAGTTACTATGCCTCATCAGTAACCATGCCACATCTGTATTCATGCCGTATCAGTAACCATATTTCATCAGTAACCATGCTTCATCAGTAACCATGCTAAATCAGTAATCATGCGACATCACTAACCATGCCACATAAGCAACCATGCCACATCAGTTACCATGCCACATTAGTAACCATACCACATCAGTAACCATGCCACATCAGAAACAACCATGTCACGCCTATAACCATACCACATCACTTACCATCACGTCACGCCTATAGCCATACCACATCATTAACCCTACCACATCAGTAGCCACGCCGACATCAGTAACCATACCAAATCATTAACCATCTGACATCAATAACAATAACTTATCTATAATCATGCCACATTAGTTACTATGCCTCATCAGTAACCATGCCACATCTGTATTCATGCCGTATCAGTAACCATATTTCATCAGTAACCATGCTTCATCAGTAACCATGCTAAATCAGTAATCATGCGACATCACTAACCATGCCACATAAGCAACCATGCCACATCAGTTACCATGCCACATTAGTAACCATGCCACATCAGTAACCATGCCACATCAGAAACAATGCCATATCAATAGCCATACCGTATCATTAACCATACCACATCACTAACCATGACAAATCAGTTACCATGCCGACATCAGTAACCATACCACATCATTAGCCATGCCAAATCAGTAACCATGCCACGTCATCAACCATACCACATCAGTTACCATGCCACATCAATAACCATACCATATGAGTAATCATGCCGACATCAGTAACCATACCACATCACTAACCATGACAAATCAGTTACCATGCCGACATCAGTAACCATACCACATCATTAGCCATGCCAAATCAGTAACCATGCCGACATCAATAACCATATCACATCATTTACAATGCCACATCAGAAACCATACCATATCAGTCACCATGCCGACATCAGTAACCATGCCACATCAGCTACCATGCCAAATCAGTAACCATGCCAACATCAGTAACCTCACAACATTATTTACCTTGCCACATCAGTATCCATGAAACATCAGTAACCACACCAAATCAGTAACCATGTCACATCAGTAACCATGCTTCATTAGTTACCATGCCATACCAGTAACCATGCCACATCAGAAACAATGCCACATCAGTAGCCATACCATATCATTAACCATACCACATCAGTTTCAATATCACATCAGTAATTATGCCACATCATTACCATACCACATCATTAACCATGCCAAATCAGTAACCATGCCGATGTCAATAACCATACCACATCATTTACAATGCCACATCAGAAACTATGCAAAATCAGTAACCATGACGACCCCAGTAAACATACCACATCATTAACCATCCCAAATCAGTAACCATGCCGACATCCATAACCATACCACATAATTTACCTTGCCACATCAGTAACCATGCCGTGTCAATAGCCATACCGCATTATTTACCTTGCCACGTCAGTAACCATGCAAAATCAGTAACCATACCACATCATTAACCATGCCTCATCAGTTACAATGCCATTATCAATATCAATACCACATCATTTACAATGCCACATCAGAAACCATGCAATATCAGTAACCATGCCGACACCAGTAACCATACCACATCATTAACCATCCCAAATCAGTAACCATGCCGACATCAATAACCATACTACATTATTTACCTTGCCACATCAGTAACTATGCAAAATCAGTAACCATGCCGACATCAGTAACCATACCACATCATTAACCATGCCAAATAAGTAAACATGCCGATATCAATAACAATACCACATAATTTACAATGCCACATCAGAAACCATGACACAACAGTTACCATGCCGACATCAGTATTCATGCCGACATCTGTAACAATATTTCATCTGTAACCATGTCACATTAGTAACCATGTCACATTAGTAACAAGCGACATGAGTAGTCATTCCATATCAGTCACCATGCCGACATCAGTAACCTTGCCACATCAGTTACTATACCATATCATTAACCATGCTTCATCAGTAACCATATTTGATAAGTAACAATGCCGCATCAGTAACCATATTTCATCAGTAACCATGCCACATTAGTAGCTATGCCACATCAGTATCCATACCAACATCAGTAACCATACCACATCAGTAACCATATCACATCAGTAACCATACCATATCAGTATCCATAATACATCATTAACCATATCACATAATTAACCATGCCACATCAGTAACCATACCACATCATTTACCATGCCACATCAATAACCATGCCAAATCAGTAACTATGCCGACATCAGTAACCATACCACATCATGAACCATACAACGTTTGTAAACATGCCACATATGTAACCATACAACGTTTGCAAACATGCCACATATGTAACCATGCCGACATCTGTAACCTTTCTGACATCAGTAATAAGATTAATTCAGTAACCATGCTACATCAATAACGATGCTTTATCAGTAACCATATTTGATCAGTAACCATACCACATCAGTAAGCATACCACATCAGTAACCATACCACATCAGTAAGCATACAACATCAGTAACCATACCACATCAGTAACCATATCACATCAGTAACCATACCATATCAGTAACCATACCACATCAGTACGCATGCCACATCAGTTACCATGTCACATCAGTTACCATGTCACATCAGTTACCATGTCACATCAGTTACCATGTCACATCAGTTACCATGTCACATCAGTAAGCATCCCACATCAGTAACCATACCCCATCAGTAACCATACCACATCAGTACGCATACCACATCAGTTAGCATGTCACATCAGTAAGCATACCACCTCAGTAACCATACCAAATCAGTAACCATACCACATCAGTACGCATACCACATCAGTTACCATGTCACATCAGTAAGCATACCACATCAGTAACCATACCAAATCAGTAACCATCCCACATCAGTAAGCATACCACATCAGTAACCATACCACATCAGTACGCATACCACATCAGTTACCATGTCACATCAGTTACCATGTCACATCAGTAACCATGCCGAGATCAATAACCATGCCACATCATTTACAATGTCATCTCAGTTACCATGTCAAATCAGTTACCATATCACATCAGTTACAATATTTCATCTGTAACCATGTCACATTAGTAACCAAGCCACATCAGTAAACATACCATATCAGTAATCATGCCGACATCTGTAATAATATTTCATATGCTACCATGTCACATTATTAACCATGCCACATCAGTAACTAAGCCACATTAGTAACCATTCCAAATCAGTAACAATGCCGACATCTGTAACCATGGCGACATCAGTAACCTTGCCGACATCATTAACCATGCCACATCAGTAACCATGCCACATCGGTAACAATGTCACATAAGTAACCAAGCCACATCAGAAAACATACCATATCAGTAACCATACCAAAACTGTAACCATGCCGACATCAATTTTCCATGCCGACATCAGTAACCATGGCGACATCAGTAACCAAGCCACCTCAGTAACATTGCCGACATCAGTAACCATGCCACATCAGTAACCATGCCACATAAGTAACAATGTCACATCAGTAACCAAGCCACATCAGTAAACATACCACATCAGTAACCATGCCGACATCAGTAACCATGCCGACATCGGTAAACATACCACATCAGTAACCATTCCGACATCAGTAACCTTGCCGACATCATTAACCATGCAGATATATGTAACCATGCCACATCAGTAACCATGCCACATCTTTAGCCATGCCGGCATCAGTAACCATGCCGACATTTGTAGCCATGCCACATCATGCATGATCAGTAACCATACCCAATCAGTTACCATGGCATATCAGTAACCATTTGTCATCAGTAACCATGCCACATTAGCAATCATGCAAACAAATTTCGATGGCTGAAAAGGGAGTCTAAACACACACGCACCCCCCCCCCCCCCCCCCCCCCCCCCCCCCTCCTATCTCACGCGTATAGTGTGTGGAAATGGTCATTTACTCCATAAGGGAAATCTGGTGTTATCACACGGTGTTGAACTTGGTATTGTGGCCTTTATCACTATAATACATGTGTACCAGGAGAGTAATAAAAGAACTTATAAAATATCTAGTTATACAATATGAAATATGTTAAACACGGGTAAGTGCACGGAGGGTAACGTGATGCCACGATACAACCATAATGCATGTGTTTGTTCGAACGGTGCCGGTGTTCTATTTATATACGACCATGTGTTTACATTTAGTATATGGATCATCACAATGTTGGTATGTATCAAGTGTAAGTCACCGAATCGAGTGTTACCACATGTAATACTCCCATGTTTCTACTTTTAGCCGAATACTCCACTTCGAGATAGCCGAGATTGAGGTTGTTATTAAAATCTAAACAATGAATGAGTTGATGCACAGTGATATACTTCGTGATATAAGAGGTACTTCAGTTTACGAGAACGGCGTTTACAGTTTTTACATCTCGAATAATATGTTAAAAATAAAATAAATTTCTTCAAAATTTCACCGACGAGGATGGGATTCGAACCCACGCGGGGAGACCCCAATGGATTAGCAGTCCATCGCCTTAACCACTCGGCCACCTCGTCTTGGTTACGTTATGAAATACACAAGAAAATTTACATTGTATAACATGCCTAAGCAGGCTCTACCAAGGTACAGTACCTACTGGCCAAATATGATCTACGTATTTCATTTTTAAGGTTAAGTCGTTTATAGAAAAAATTGACAGGCGGACGACCGGCGGATGCACCATATCATAAACCTACAGACACTAAATAGCTACAAATAAACTGAACACGTATCGTTTACTTATCAATCAATCAATACGTCGTGTATGTTGTCCTTGAAAAACCCTCTGGATCCGCCACTGGATTATAAGGTGCACGTGGCGTTAACAACAATGTGAAAATGCAAAGCAGCCTGACCAGGATTCGAACCACGGAACTCCTATATATATTTTATACTATCGCCCTAGCCGCCTGATCATGAGCTACCGGTCGCTTATATTTAACGATACTACACTGGCTCATACCCTCAAGTTATATATATAAAAAAAGGAAACAAACGGGTTACTGTAAAAATGGGATTCTCTATTGTTTGTAAAATGGCAAAAAATAATCTTTAAACAACTACACAACCTTAACATTAATAGCCAAATTCACATCGTACGTTTTTCACATTTTAAATAAATAAATTTATATAATATATCGACAAAAAGAAATAAAACAGGAAATATTTATTTTAAACACACATGTAATACATGTACATAGAAAACACACAGTGTTTTTACATAATAGGCGGTCGAAAATTTAACCAATCAGGCAATTAAATAAAATGAATGAACAGACAAATTAAACAGAGCCTTTTTTCGAAATATTAATAAACATACAAAAATTGATGTTGAAGGGCGTAAAATGTTTCCTGCAAGTTTGATTTTGGTAGATTTGTTTCTGTCTAATGTTAAACTTTATGCCTACTGTCTGGATGAAAAAAAATCATCGAAGTTTTTTTTAAATTTTCTTCAGGCTTGCCATCTTTCTAAATGAGCTCTCAAAATGAGCTATATATATTATACTTTTTTATTCAGTTTAGTTACTGTTTGGGCCTTATCTGACCATTCATAAAAGACAAAAATGCTTCATATTCTACCACCACCAACTTTTTCTATTAAACCCTATACACCTCTTTACCTCCTCCTTCCCCCTCTTCTCTTCCATATACCAGAATCTATGATATATAGGTAATTATATATAAATACATGTAAATTAGTCATCAGCTTCATAAAAGAAGGAGACGGATTAGCATAAATACTTTGTACTTGTTTTCGAATCCTATATATCATATTTGTATCACTGAAATAGTATACCGACAATAAAAATAAAGTTTAACCTTAAAAAAACTCGTTTCTTAGAAAGAGGAGCACGAGTTGTCTGCCTTTGTGAAATTTCCAAGATGGCGGGTTGTGATGGACGCTTTGTAATTTTTCTTACTTTCATGACTGCGTTGGCATGGTTTCCTGGCATTGAGTGTTCAGGTAAACAATGTAAATGATTTAAATGGTAATATCAAAAGACACAATAATGTCATGGAATGACTATCTTGCTATTACTAGTTGATTTGACTGAATTTATGGTCTAACCTGGACGCCCTACTGAGTACTGTAGCCCGAGTTTCCTCTGGCCTAGGAGCACATCTGACCCTGACACCAGGCTTACAGACATGTTGACTGATGCCCAGTGTGGTCCACAACACACATCTATGGTATCCGTTAAAATGTCTAAGTCTGGTGTCAGGGCCAGAGGGAACTCTGGATACAACTTGAGTGCAAGGCCCTTAAATCTGTCAAACGTGCTCACGTTGGATTACACATTTGCAACTAGTAAATGGGAAGAGGACTGGCGCATGAAACTCCACCCAGACAAATGCACCATACTCACTATATCACCAAAACGCACACAACTTAAACACCAATACACACTCCATGACCACACACTAGAATCTGTAACTTCAAACAAATATCTAGGCATCACACTTCAAAACAACTTAAAATGGGACAAACACATTAACAACATCACATCAAATGCAAATAAATCACTAGGCTTTCTGAAACGCAACCTAAATATAAATTCACCACACAAAAGAACATGCATATAAGGCCATTGTAAGACCAAACCTTGAATACTGCTCTTCAGTTTGGGACCCACATTACACAAATAACATAAATCAATTAGAAAAAGTACAACAAAGAGCAGCACGATATGTCCTAAACAAATACCATAACACAAGCTCAGTCACAGACATGATACACAACTTGCAATGGCCAACACTACACACACGCATAACAAGAACACACATTATTTTCTCTACAAAATAATACACCAACAAGTAGCAATACACACCAACAATCTCATCCCAGCTGACACCAGAACACAACCTTAGTTAAAGACATATCTTCACATCCAAAGACAACAGACACTCATTCTTTCCATACACCATAACACAGTGGAACCTCTTACCCAAAACAATAATCTAATCAGAAACACTAGCAGAATTAAGGACATGCACCACATACATAATGTATAGCATAATTGAACATATACAAAACCTACAAAACAACTAACACTCACTGCTTTTAACCTGTTTTTATCCGATAGCAAATAATAAAAATATGATAAAAAATCACTGTACATAACAACGCACAGTACAGCACAAGACCAAAACTTCTGTAATCGTCAATATTGACGGAGGAAGGTCTAAAGATGAAGATGAATATTATTGTAACTGTAAATTTCAACCCCAATATAGGTCATATTTAAAGACCAAAATTTAACACCAGTGTTGAAATATGTAAATTGAATATATTGAACTTTAGCTGTTAAAATGTTACATAGCTGAATTAAGTTTTAGCAAGATATACATATTTTATGTAAGGCTTGCACATTCACAAAAATTGTTGATCAACATTTTGATATGTGATCACTTTTGTAATCAAAGTGAATGCTACAGAATCACACATTATTAAAAGTTATTTATTAACTCAACAGGAGATCAGGCTTAACTTTTTTCATACCATAACAACTTCCCATCATCAGTCTTGGCAAGCTACAATTTACATCATCAGAAACTTCCCATCGCAGCATCAGATGAAGTTCAATTTATGACTGACAACCATCCAGACTGAGTGTTTACTTTGTGAATTTCAACTTTTTAATTGTAAGGCAATTAATACACCAGTATTAGCCCAAATAACTGACTGTCTCCTTTTAGTTTTTTGATGGGCAAAATTAAAAAGGAGATGGTCAGTTATTTTGTTTCTTTAGTGTACAAGTCTGAAATTGAGATGGTTGTGGCCATTCAAAATGTAAAGCTACAGGTGTTTTCATTATTTTCTATAAAATCCTAGCTGTTACTAACTATAGTAACCTATACAATTCTGCACCAATCAGATCACAGCCGGAGAGGACATTGATCACTTTAATTCTTTCCGTCGTCTGTGAGATTATAAAACAAGCTTCCATTATCAGTCTTGCAAGCTACTTCAGCGGTACTTTCCACCATAGCATCCGTAATTTAAAACTGACAACCATCTAGATTGAGTATTTCCTTTTTACTGCATGTCATGCAATAATGAGATACTATAATATCATCAAATTCCTACACTTCATTTTGAAGAAGTTTTAAGAAGAGGTATACATGAAAAAGAGAGAGAAAAAGTTACATTGTATGATCGTGGTTTCCTCCCAATATGCAACCCTAGGACTCATTCAATAAAGTATGGCTTCCAATGTCAAATACCACCCTACATTTTTGACCCCGCCCACTCGTCATATCCAACCCTAGGCCTGTCCAATACCTTATTTCATTATACTTGAAAGTGTTAAAAAATATTGCATAGGGGTTCAAAAACACAATCTTTGATCTTTGTGATTGAGAGCAAGAGGCGTATAGGCCCAAAATATCATTAGAAGTGGGTATATATTTAAAGATTCATGTATATGTTTATACAGACTTACATTTAAACTAGAGTATTAAATCACTGGGACTAATTATTGCTTACTTCATTTGGAAATGATAATAATGCATACTACCTATTTTGGAGGGAGACTCTCAATTTTGGACCCATACATTTAGCATTTTCAACCAGTTTCTAAGATTTTTTTAATAATTCTAAGATCTAATGATTTCATTTAAAGAACAAACCAAAAGATGCCATTGTAAAGTAGTAATGTTTCCTTTGGGAGTAAAATGTATATAACACATTTATAAATGTTATTAATTTTGAAAACGAAGAATCTCCCAAATAGAAATTTCAAAAAAGTTAACAATTACATGTATATGATAAAGAGATAATCATATATAATATTATCTTTCCTTTTTTCTTAGATTATGGTAGATTAAATGTGTATGAGTCCAGCACGCTGAAGGAGAAGATTGAGCTGTCCAGACATCACCCCCTATGTGTAGTGTTGAGGATAGCAGGTACATATAGTTACTCATACAGATTGCCACTGTAGTGTGTACATGTATGCCCGTAGGGCTGTAACAATATATTATATTGTGATACCATCTTATGTATTCTACCAAATTGTCTTGTTTGCCTGTATATAACGATACACTATGTGATTAGCAGTCGGTTTAAACTCATAAGCAATAATTGGTTACGACTGCACTAAGTCATTAGCAATCGGTTTTAAAATCATAATCAATATTGGGTTTTTAATCGGAAGTGTTAAACCGGTCAATGATTGACTGCATAATTGGTTTATAATCTTTTGGGACTGAATACCCAAATAAAGTGAGAATACTACCATAACATCATGGTCAATAGACAGAGTTGTTAACTATATATTAGGTTTTGTCCTTTTATGATTAATGGATATCAAGCAACTTTTATGCATTTTTATCAATCATAGAGTATAAATCAGCACAATATATGACTTTCAAAGCATACTTTACATGGAAGACATTTAAACGCTTTGATTTTAATGAAAAAACGATATATCGATTATGGAATTTGTAATCGGAAAGAGCAAACCAATCGATCTTCAATTATAATTGATCATCAGCCAATCACCAACTAAGAGTATACTTTAATTATCAATCAATTTTTATCAGACTTTAATTAGTGTACTTATATCTTTTTAATCCTTCAGTAAACATGTGGTCCACTATGCAGTCCTATCCAAAAGTACTAGAAATTAAACTACAAAGTATTGAAGACTGTGACAAAAATCGATAAATCCTGCACTGTCATTATGAAGTTGACATTTTAAGCAGATATTTGTATCATGATACCTATTGTATCGTAAGCACTGTTCTGCGATACCTATACCTATCTTATTGTGAAGTAATTGAATATCGTTGCAGCCCTAGTATGCAACTTGACATGATCATACATTGAGGGTAAATGTATGCTACTGTATGCCTACCAACTGCATTCTTTACATTAAAATTACACCAAGAAATACAGGTAAAATGTAAATTAATATCAAAATGGAAATAGTCGAATCAATGCAAAAGATTAACTGTTGTTTGGCACAACAAGCTTTTAAAACAAGTTAAAAAAAAGTGTGTATTTTCTTACTGTTTAAGCTGCTTTTGATTTACGTTTGGTAGAAATTTGGAACTGTTACCTTGGTATGTACGTACTGTATACACAATTTACACATACAATACACATATACAACTAGTGTTTCACCCTGGTGTCACAGCATGTAATGAGTTCATGTCGTATTGACATACTATTTTGTGTGGGGTTTTTAAAGTACATTTGAAGTACAGTATAAGCTGTTTTTTTTATCGCCTGATTTTAGATAAAGACACAAGACTTGAAGACAGTGTAAACACATTGGTGGTCAAGGAAGGAAATGGAGGGGGAAACAAATTCAAAAAGTGGCAGTTTGGTTCTTTTGCTTTTGAGAAGGTAAATAATGCTTAGAATATTATTCAAACACGGAAATCTACAGATAAAGTTTATGTACTGTACTGTAATGAAATTCATTTGGACTGTTGATATTTCCGTAAATTACGCTTTTGCTCAAGGGAAGGTAATCATTAAACATCAGTTATTGGAAAATTGCTGGGAAATGTGAAAAATTACTTTTATAACTATGTCTGAATTGATGAAAATGGAAAATTTACACAAAAAGTATTTTGTCTTAGTTGATGAAAATGGAAAATTTACATAAAACATTATTTTCTAATTGTGATATTGCAGGTCACTCTTCCACCCATACATAGACCTGTGTCTTTCCCTACCCTGAGGTGTTACACCGGAAAACATACGTACCAGGAGTTCAATGGAAAACACTCCACAAAGGCAGTGTCTAAGTGGCTGGAAAGACTGGTGAGAGCAATCAAAATGGCGACACCTTTATGTGATACATTTAATATTGTTTATTGCAGACATGAACATTTTGAGCCTTTTATCAGAGTTTTAGTGCAATGCAAATTTTTAACTCGTTTCTATTGAAAGGATTCAGAAATCTAATTTTCAGCCTTTTTACCCATAAGCCCATTCAATGTTGCTTTTCTGTTACCATTATATATTTATTTCTATATATGTGCAGAGAGTATAGGGGAAAATAAAACTTGTAAAATCTTCAAGGCAATCTGCCCCCTTTTCGAAGCACAATTTGGAGCAATTACATAATAGAATGGTTATGAATGAAACTCAGAGACAAGTTTTCATGTTAAGGTCCTGCAGCAAGCAAAGTACCTGGAGGATGCGTCCATGTCTGCTGTGGAGCTGGCACAGGAGCAATTCAACACGGTCCTCATAGCCTTCCCCGACACCGCCCGGCACGCTCAAATAGAGGAAATGGTCTTCCAAGTACGTTCATTCATACTTTTTTAATTCTTGAATATCAGAGTTTTGACAAAAAATATTTCACAGTCAGAACAATTAGTATTTTCTCTAAAATAAACATTCTTGGAACAAGAAGTGATTCAGCCCATATAGAAAAGGCTACCTAAAGCACATGTGCTGCACATGAGCTTCACATGAGAAGCACATGAAATTGGTGTTTGCATATCATATGCAAATGAGATGAGCCACATGAGCTTTACGTTAGCTGAGGTGAGCTGTGTCTTAGCACACCTGGTTTGCACATGAGCTTTCTGTAACCTAATCAAAGCTCATATACCTTTTGGAAAGCTCACATTGTTTATGTGAGCTATTCAGACTTAGAAAAAGTTCATGCCTATATGACTCAAATAAAATCTGAAAAACAACTTAAGTCCATTTAGCACATGGGAAATTTCATATGAGCTATTTGGACTTAGAATCAGTTCAGACTCATAACTTTTCAGCTGTACATGTTCTGCTATACAGACTATTAGCTATACCTGGTACTAGTGTAATATACTTAATCAATATTCTTTTCTCATAATCATGTTGGCAATAATATATATCTGTCTGAAAAAGAATGGAAATCCATTCAGCCATGATAGTAGTTAAACAAATAAGTTAAGGATATCATTATTTTGATTCATGTTTATTTTATTATTGTATACACATTAAATACCATCATGCATGTACAATTTTATAAGTGATAAATTAAAAACCAAAGTAATACATACTGTATCAAAATCTTTATGTTGTTACATTGGTAAACCAAAGAATTTATAAACACTTTATATTACAACAAACAACTCCTACCAACCTTTTACCATAATATAACCAAAAATAGTAAATCAATTTTATGATTAGACAAGTCTGCCTGCAATTGGACATACGTTTGACTATATATATATACCTTGTTTATTAATTGAACAGAAGTTTGATCATACAACAAGGTTTGATAGGCAAGTGAGTGTTTTAGTGTACCTCTCCCACTGCCCTGGTCCTATACACAGTAACCTCCCCTTAACTTCCTATCACTGTAGAACAATTGGTCCAGTACACTTCCGTAGACAAAGTAGCTAAATCGGTTTAAGCAATAGTTCGGCAGTCTAGTGAAGGTCAAGGTTCAAGTCCAGGTCTAGCCCCTATGTGAATGTTTACACTCAAAACAATATTGTTTATTACACTTTGTTTATTTTATCTTTATTATTTCTCATAAAAGTCCAACAAGGATAATGGTTTTCTTTCAGAAATGATTTATCAAACCATATATAGTCATGCCTGAAAAACAGTTTCCAATACTAATAGCTACAGATTTTTGGGATCTTTATCATAAATTTGTCTCATTATTTTTATGAATAGAGATGTGGAGCTGCCCTCTGTAGACAGAATCTCATTCAGATCTCAGTTATATTGATGTACAATTAAATGGGATACTTAAGTACCAAATAAAATAACATATCAAGGTACAGCTGTATGTCCGTCACAAAGAGAATGCTCAGCTGGTAAACTGTTTCCTTTTTACTGCACACAATAACTTTTCTTCATTTTCAGGAAAAAGAAAAGTTGTCTAATGCCAAGGCATTCATTGTGCATGAAGATGCTACAGATTTAAAGTAAGTCATATTGGGGAGGGATATACAAACTGAAAATTCTTATGTCACGTGAAAAAGATAACGTTGATACAGATTCCATAAGCCCAGTTTTTAACTGTGTTTTTCTTCTTTTGCAGAATTTTCAAAAACAAATTCAAGATGAGAAAACTACCTGCTGTGGTCGTAACACACAAGGATAACGTTAACGGTGAGATTGTTTCGCTTACAAATAAGAATTATAAATACAAGTTTTCTCTGATTTAACCACCTTTTGAAATGATCTCCAATATGTTTTATAGATTATCTGACGCCACAAATTTGACAAAGTTGACATTTCTGAATCAGCTTAATACATGTATGTTTTTTCTTCAAAATTATAGAAGTTAGGGGCATTAGTTATAACATAGGTGATGGCATCTAAAAAGAATGTGAAAATATATACATGAATATAAGGACATGGATATAGGTTATATCAGTCACAAATACATATAAGTAGTCTGAGTTTAAATTGGCCTCAATGAACACCAGACATCTATCTGTGAAAATTTACAAAGTTTGGTGTTGGAGCCGAACGAAAAGCAGTTATCAAAGATTTCTCTTTTGTTTGTTGACATTATCATACAGTAAGTAATACAGAGGTGAGAATTACAGTTACAATTTGGTTCATGCTTTTTTTTCAAGTTTAAATTTGAGCTGAATGTTTTGATTTTGAGACTCTGTTTTCATGTGCTTTCTATAGACACGGGTCCTACAACTGTAAAGGTGTTATCAGGAGTGACTTTGACACAGCAGTCACTGGGTGTGTGTCTCCAGGCTAGACACATGGGGATACCCCACTATGACATGGTAAGCAACTTAACATTCATATATTTATAAAATGTCATTCATATATATGGAATAAGGAAAAAGATGTAATGCTAACATGTATGCAAAAATCATGTTGAATGAAGTGTATTTAGAATTTTTTGATATTTTGGTAATATTTGAGTCAGCATTGGTGCTGTGAACTTCAATTGATATATGGTCTAACCAATTATGGTGCTTTGTTTTTGTATCTAATGGTATTTAGATGAGATTGAAGTCCATGATAGTGGTGTGAGCTTGTATTTAATGATGGTTACATGAGACTTGAGTCAGTGATATCGATGGTGGTACGAGTTTGAATACAGTAAACCTCGTTATACTGCCACCATTTCCCCCCAAATATTTTTTGGCATTATGAAGGGGTTTGGCGATAAATTGAGGGAAATATATACAGGAACTCTGATAAAACGAGAGAAAAGGACCTTGATGTTGGTGGTATGTGAGGTGGCAAATGAAACGAGGGGCATTATATCGAGGTTTTACTGTATATTGAAATTTAGGCAAGATTCAAGTCACTGATGGAGACCTCTGGGAGTTTTGTGCCAACACTGGTCGGGTTCTACTCATACTTTGGGAGCCATGCCCAGCTCTATCTGCGACTGCTCAGTAACAGTGTAGAGGAGTTTAGAGATATGGGAGTGAACGTAAGATTCGGACTGGTGAATATTGAGGAAGCAGACATAAACTTGAGTAAGCATGAATCTCCAGTATTCTATAAGGAAGCCTCTATGAAATTATACAAAAACCACTCTATTAGTATTCACTAGCCATACATTCTCAATTGATATGTAATGCCTTCACATACATATATACGTACCGGTTATCGGGTATGTCAACCATGCATAATAAATCCCACTTGGTGTTTGTCAGAATTATCTCCCTTTAATATTAGTTTTTCCAAGAAATCAAAGAAAGCTCTCTTAGTGGGGTAGTCATTCGAGACAGACAATTTTGTCACATTTAGGTAGTGCTATGGGTTTCTATTGCAAGTTATTGTTATTCTGTAATATTTTGCAAAAGATTTAGGGAATATACATATATTGTAATTCCTGAAATTCAGCGTAATTAAAAAAAAAAAATGAATAAATGAAAAGAGTGCTAGCTAGAGTATGAGTACTGCTTGTTTCAGTGATAAATTGTCCATCCCTAGTTAATACATACTCTTAATATATATCTTTTAACTTTCTAATCTGTTTATTTTATGACCGAATCAATACTCTTATTTTTTTCAGTCTTATCAAGATGGGTAGATCCAAAACTGACATTGTCGTTTCCTGTGGCTATTCTGTACTACTGGGGTATGTGTAAACCACAACTATAAAGGTTTTGTATCAATTGATTTACATAATTTGTTTTATCATTAAAAGACCGTTGCACTCTAAAACAAATACATGATTTTGCATAAAAAACAGGTCTTGTTTATGCCAAGGTCTTTAGGATTTGACAGTTTTTGTAGATATTAAGAACAAACTACATATCACCAAATCTAACACTAATTTGATAGTGTGGAAGTCTTTGACAAAAAATTCTGTCCTTATGTCAAAATTAATGTTTCAAAAAAATCTGTTTAAAGATTTAAAATTGAAGATATTGTCTTCTTATGATTTTTTTAACTTTTTCAAATTTTTGCATTTTGATTTGCAATATTTTTTTCTCTCAAGAATCTTTTAAAAGGGGAACAAATAAAAATATTGTAAACATTTGTAAACAAGAATACTTTTTGTATCAGATTGTTGTTGATATAGTAGTACATAATGTTGTTGATTTAGTAAAGGTGTTTTTCAGATAATTCTAGTAAAATAGCTCAAATAAAAGTGTCTGAACAGAGGCTCACTCCCTTAAACCTACACCGTGTCCTCAAGGAGACTGTGGGCTTCGTGGACCGTGAGGGACAGGAGGTGCCATACAACCCACTCCACGGCTACAACCCTCTCGAGGTGAGACTGCTTAGTCCAACAGAACGCAAATAAGTTTATAAAATGATGTGGGTCTGTATTTAAAGCATACATGTAGCTATCTGATGTTAAACTAATGATACAGACCATCTACATGTAATACTGTGTGGAATATTTTATGGCTTGTTTTAATCATCACTCATGTGTGTACTACATTTAACATTCATGGCCATACGGCTAGAGTCCACATTTAACTCCAAGGTTGTTTTGATATCATTATTCCTTTCATGTAATCATTCTCTCTTACATAAACTTCAATGTGACTCAAGAATTTGTAAGAAAAGTCAACATTTACCATTGAGGTCATGTGCTCTTTTTAATGCCCCAAGTATTTTGTGTGTGTATGTGTTGGTGGTCAGGGAGGGGGTTCTCACATTGTGGTGCATGCTAAAACCGGGTCTTGTGCTTCACGGTATGATAGTTGTACATGTGTTAATTCAATATTACAGATATCTGCTGTGTTCGAGGGACCACTGGGAACAAAATGCTCTCAACATTCTCATAACTTGACAGACAATTATCCAATTCAAGTACAACCAGTCAAACGCAAGAGGAAGGTGCACGTGGTGACAGTGGAGAAAAAAGAAGAGGTTAAACTCTGGCATGATATGGTATGACTACATGTAAAACATTGTTGATAATGGGTTTATTTTATGTCCATTGTTTGAACAGATATTGATATTCCTATTTATAGATATTTAAAAAAAAAAGAATGCAAAAAATGCTCTGTTTGAAAGGTTTTACTCTTTCTTGTTTTTGAAAACAGTTTGTTTGCAAAGTCACATTTTTTTTATAGATTTTTTGAAGCAAGCTAGACTATCTTTGTAACAAAACATTATCAAACTACACACTAGACAGTGCAGTTTCAGAACTAATTTTTTCAAAGATTATTCATATTTCCTCAACGAATGAAGGGAGACATATTTTATCACAGGTATTACTGATTCTTCTTCTGATAATTTTGTCTTGGATGTAACTTTAAAACTGTTAAAATATTTTCTTGGCGGAACTTGAAGTAATATACCTGCATTACAAGTCTGTAATATCTAATGTACAAATAGACAAATAAAGTGAGCCTTTTTTTTGCGTGATTAAATATGAGTTGACTGCACACTAATTTCACACTAAATTTCTCATTATTTGTAATCAAGTTCGGAACGGAGACTATTAATAAAAATTTGGACATGGTGGAAAATATCCCGGTACTGACCGGCCAGTATTGGTCCGAAGTCATTGAGAAGTCACATGCCCCACAGCATCCCCTTCAGGGAGGCAGAGAGTGGGCAGGGGAGGTAACCAAGGTGGCACTTGTAAGTATATTTGATTATCTCTCCGAGTCGGAGAATATCACTTTCATTTAGGATATCAGTTCCATTTGAGGGATATTATTTTGAGTCAGTCACGCAATGTCACTTGTGTAGGAATAAGTTGATATCTTCTAATGGGGATCATCTGGAAACTGTTTTTGAGAAATAACAACCCTGCTGATGAGTTTTTATTTATAGTGCGTAGGACTGATGAAACTATTATCAAATAACAATTGAATTTTGTTTAAAAAAGTGTGCAGTCTTTTACTGAAACAAGACAGTAAAGCAATAATCAACATTACAAAGTAAAATTGTCCTCATTTAAATATTGCTGGAGAAAGGAAAGGCATTTCTAAATTTGTTTACTAGGCAGTACATTGTATAATGATAACAAAAAAGCCTAGACTGAAGACATTTGCTTGAAAATCAGATAAACTGTATAAATATGATGTTATGATGTTTTATTGTAGCATTGATCGATGCTTATTACTGACAGTGAAAACTGTTATTTCATGTTAGAAAGTAATAAAGGTACCACAGAGTAACACATATCCCCAATATCATCAATGTATATAATTATCTAACAATTTCATAACCTACATATATTGAAGTGAATACATTTATTGTTATTCAAAATTTCTTAAAACACATAAAACAATTTTTTATATTCAAAACCATCTATACACCACCTTGCATTGTCACTGTGCATATTGTTTGTGTAAATAAATGATTCTGGAATAGCTATTAGCTCTTGTTTGTTAACCAAATCATTTTGATTAGTCAAATTTGATTTTTTTATTATTACAGGTGGTCTTTGTAATGGCAGAATGCAGGAGTTGTAAGAACAGTATGCCAGTTTTTGAAAATTTAGAGAAATCTGTCAAGTATATTGGTAAGTCTTTTTGTTCTGATATATTTTACTGTGTCAAATACTTCATTTTGTAGAGGATTGTCTTAAGTATCACTGTCCCACTGCACTCTAGTTTTTGTGTATATACAGTAACAGGCATTAATGCAGGAATAGAACGTTGGTACCCTTTTTTGAAATAGGGGAAAATATGCATTGTACATGTAGGTGCATGACTAGTGTCCAAGGAGGGTTGCAGGCCAGAGCCAGAAGGAGCTGTACAAGAGGGGGGCATGGATCATCTTGATTTTTTTGTTTCTCGCTGTCCATTATAGATACTTCAAATTGACCACCAGATAGGCGTTAGAATGAAGTGTTTGTGTGACTGTTATGGAATTGTAGACCATAAACAGGGCTATAGCTGTTAACAGTGTGGTAAAATATCAGCAGTGACAAAATTGATTACCAGAAACAGAGAGAAAATGCAATAAAACGCTGACAAAAAATATAAAAACAAAATTGAATCAAGACAGATATTCATGTAGTAGTATTTTAGTTACAAGTGGGGAATTTTTAACTGAAATGGGGGAAAATAATGCCATTGTTGTATCCATGGCTATGATGATGAGTTATGGTACTGAAATGTAAGGTAATGGTGCAGACATATGTGGAGTTATGTTAATGACGTAGTATCAGCCATTTTATGTTGGTCATTAGCATCTTTAATCAGCATTATGTGATGTGAGGCCAAGAACAAAAATTGTGTGTTTCAGGTATCCCAACTTACCCTAGATTTTACCGCCGACCCTAGATATTTTATCACCTACTTGTATCTAAGACTAATTTATTAGCCAGGCAAAGTTCACAGCCACTCATTAAAATGTACTTTCTCCCTGTTCTGGGAGTCTGACCTTATTCTTGACAAATTAAAAGCCATTATAATGTGTGAAAATTCATTGTAAAATTTAAAATAGAGCATATGATATTCATTCACAATAATAAAAAAAAATAAGATTAGAATAAAATTATTTGCCTACCGATCGACCCTATCCAGTATATTTTTCAGGGATGTTAATTGAAACAAACTTTTTTTTGGCCTGATACATGTGCCAAGTTAGTTGTATCATATGAGACCACTGTCAGTCAGGATTGGACGATGGGAAGGACTTTAACTGAACAATGGGGAATGGCTATAGTTGAATACTCGGTAGAAAAACATTTCTTAGCTCTTGGTGAACTGTAATTTGACATAAATCCAAATATTGGAAAACAAAACATCTGAAATGCCCTTTAATAATGAATAATGCCTATTAATAGCCTGTCTAAGATAATACAAAAAGCATGTTTTTTTCACACTGTTTTTTTATGGGACATATTGGTTTCCAGCACCCAATCTGAATGGCATTAGTTATGTTTGTGTTACAGAAGGTGGATCTATGTACTTGGTCAACTGTTCAGTGGACCATGCCCTATGTAAAAATCTCGACATTCGTGGTTACCCAACCGTAACAGCATTCCGGGGCCTGGGCTGGCTCCACAGTAGTCGCTGCATAGGAGATGAGGCGGAGAAACTTGCCCAGCACAACAACTATGTCAGACTGGACTACCATGGCGTGTTACTAGTGAGCATGGCAAAGAACAGTTTGTTAATTGCTGGAAACTGAGGGGGTTTCGTACTAAACAGTTTAACATGTCCCAAAGTCAGTGAAGCATGAACTTTTAAAGTGTGTTTCTCCTGCCCAAAAAGTCTAACAATGTAAAGTATAAAATGGTCTGTAGGTGCTTCATTGTCTATGTGTAACATTCAAGTGAGCTGGCACTATTGAAAAAAGATGCCAATAGAAGAATGGTCCCACTGCAAGACAGGATATTCATATGCTTCCAGTTAACATGTAGTCTCACTCACATGTGTAAGTGTTAGCAAGGTGACTTATAACCAGTAGTATTTAGCGCCTGATAAAGCAGCTCCTGTGAAATTCTCAAATTGTATAATTGTTTAAATGGAATATTGATTTACCATAAAGTGCCTTAAAGTGACTTATATTTTGCTAGATAGGGAACTCTATATCCAATGTCCTATCATGATTATAATCCCTCCTACAAAGCAAAGGTTATATAGTGGTAAATTTGTTCAGTTGTCTATCTGTCTATCCGTAGATGATTGTGTATTTTTACACCGTATCCTGCATATTTCTTTGATATTCTCTTAAGTGTCTGATACTTAATTTCACAGATGTGTATATCTTGAGTAAGATGGCATGCTGCCATGATAATAGATATGTTAATTTAGGAGATGGATATTAAAGTAACTACTGTGTATACAGTCTTTATTGCAGCAGGTAAGCTTTATGACAATGGAACTCTAATTGTGTAGAGGAATTTCACTTTGTAAATTGAAGTGTTGTGTACTGTATTTCAGCATGATAATATAATGGATTGGTTTGCCCGGGTGTCTGCTCCAGCCATTACCGACAACCTGTTTGACTGGCCAGATGCTAAGGTGAGGGGACGTTGTATTGGAACTCTTTGAAATAAAAAAAAATAAAGAGAGTTGACGTTAGTAGGTCCCATTGAAGAAATGTATTAATCGATGTACATTGAGATTGGTTGGAGAAGATATAGTCAAATTAGAGTTATCTCCCTTGCCACAGTTTACCTGAGGTAATATTACACATTTTACCTGTATATTTCTCCCTCAGGCAGATGATGTGAGTCTATTTGGTGTGTTGACGCCAAAGAAATCTGACTTCCTGCCAATCCCGCCTCAGAGGAGTATTGACTACTACTACTCCTACGAGTGTTTTCGTCTGGTCTGTGAACGCCTGTATGGGAAGGTACACTGTCACAGCGTGTACAATAGAGATATACCAGAACGCGAGTTTGAAGATGATGATCTGGACCTCATTGTCTCCAAGGTAGTAACAATGATAGGATCAAGCTGCTCAAAATGAATTCCATTCTTGTTTTCAGAGTTGTCTTGAGTGTGTTTTATGAGCAGGCCAAATTATGATATGAAATGACCATAAAGATTCCTGAATATTTTCTGAATATTTCTTCTATCTTTTTTTCGATATTTTTACTTGTATATTGAGTTGATCAGAAATAAGGTTGTGTTCTTTAAGGGTATTATGTTATCGCTTTCTTTTGAAAAAATAAGTTTCTGCGGTTTTGAATTACAATTATTATAATGTGAAAATATTGCTTAAACTCTAACCCAGATCATTTACATGTACATTGTACCATCAAAACCATCTAGATATATAATGACAGATCAGAGGTTGGGGGTTCAGTGAAATGCTGTCAGAAGGTGTTGTCTTTTAATAAAGTGACGTGGTAATACAGTCATGTGTTGGGATTATGGTGATGTGACAGTAAAATGGTGATTTGTTGGAATGATAAAAGGTGATCCTGAAGAGAAAAGATGGTGTGAGTGCTGTCATCATGAAGCTGGGCACAAGCTTACAGGACACAGTGGAGGATGAGTCGGACACAAATTTACACAAGTTTCACAAACCGCACAGGTAAATATATACATACAGGTACACTACACAAACCAGCAAGGTAAATATATACATACAGGTAAACTACTCATATGACAAAGGTAAATATATACATACAGGTAAACTACTCATATGACACAGACACAGGTAAATTTATACATACAGGTAAACCACACAAACCACCCAGGTCAATATATACATACAGGTACACTACTCATACGACACAGGTAAAAAGATACATACAGTTAAATATTCATATGACACATACACATGAAAATGTATACATACAGGTACACTACACAAACGACACAGGTAAATGTATACATACAGGTACACTACACAAACCACACAGGTAAATATATACATACAGGTATCCTTAAGTCAATGGCTAAATCAGGGACATTATGATACATGTATATATAAGTGACAATCTAAATAAAAGCTTTCCAGTCCAGTTTCATCTATTATTAAACATGTGATTTACTTAATCATAAGTTAATGACTTTTAATGAGTGTTGATTGGATTTTCTGTTTACATACCTGTACAGGTGATTTATACAAACCAGAAAGGTATCTGTCTTTTCATGGTATACAAACCTCAAAACAATTGTCCTTGATGCACTGCAATGAATTCATTTCTAATCAGTTGTGTTAAATATCATAAATACATGTAGCAAGTATGTTTCCAATCATTAACTGACCACACTGTTACAGGTACAACCTGAGACCTAACACAAGGTGTGAACAGGACCATGTAGCATGTACAAACCTGATCATAGCCTACACCATGGATCACTCCAGACTCCCGGTCACCCAGCTCACCTCAGACCTGTTTCACATTCACTCCAGGTAGGTACATTTTAAATCTCAATTTGAATCTGTTCCACATCCACCAGAGGTAAGTATTTCACTTCAGTCCTGATCCACATCCACAAGAGATAAGTAACTCACTTCAGATCTGTTCCACATCCACCAGAGGTAAGTATCTCACTTCAGTCCTGATCCACATCCACAAGGGGTAAGTATCCCACTTCAGACCTAATCCACATTTACCTGAGGTACATATCTAACCTCAGACCTTTTACACATCCACCTGAGGTAAGTATCTCACTTCAGTCCTAATCCACATTTACCTGAGGTACATATCTAACCTCAGACCTTTTCCACATCCACCAGAGGTAAGTACTGTATCTCACTTCAGACCCATTCCACATCCACCTGAGGTAAGTATCTCACTTCAGATCTGTTTCACATCCACAAGGGGTATAAGTATCCCACTTCAGACCTAATCCACATTTACCTGAGGTACATATCTAACCTCAGAGCTTTTCCACATCCACCTGATGTAAGTACTGTATCTCACTTCAGACCCATTCCACATCCACCTGAGGTAAGTATCTCACTTCAGATCTGTTCCACTTCCACCAGATGTAAATATCTCACTTTAGACCCACTCCACAGCCACCTGAGGTAAGTATCTCGACACTTCAGATCTGTTCCACATTAGCCAGAGGTAACTATCTCACCTCAGACCAATTCAAAATCCACCTGAAGTATGTAACTTACTTCAGACTTGTTCCACATCCACCAGAGATAAGTATCATGCTGAATATCAAAGGAGATGATGTTAACACTGTTATGTTTTATTATTGTTAAAAAAGTTTCACTAATTAATTATATAAAATAAATGATGTACCTTGCTTCAGTTATAAAGTTAATTAAATAACAAACTATTTTGAATCTTTTGTTGATAGCATGTATTGGATAATATTAAACATTTACCAGCAATATACACCAATTATAATAATAATTTTATAGACGAAAGTAAATAAAATGTTTGAGTTATCTCCCCTTAGACCAGTGATGACACTGAGTAGAAATTTGCTAAAGTTTACTGCATGTTTTTCAGCGAGAGTATGAAGGACAGTCTGCCAGTGATGATGGCTCTGGTACACCGGCAAAACATCACAGAGGACTCACAGTTCATCAAGGTTTGTTAGGAATTGGTTTTCCCCTGAGTGAAACATATTGTGAACAAAGACCAAAACCTTAACTTTTTATCAAATACATATGTCAATAGTAAGTTTAGTGAGACAAGCAATGATGGAAACCATTTATTATACTGTAATATAGTGTATTTTAAAATCATGGTATTTTGTATAATGTAAAATATTTGGCAGTATATCTTTTCATCTACAACTCATGTACAATTACCTGTCTAAAGCAGCCAATTTCTGCCGGTCCCTTGGGTGGCCTCTTAATACAGGTTTGACTGTAGTTACAAGACAAGACAACTGCCAATTCATTGGAAGAAGTGTTCAACATTACTATATTGTATCGAAAGTTTATACATAAGTATTGTCCGCATTTTGATGTAGTGTTGGTACATTTGTAGGAGCTGAGAGCGGTTGCTTACGAGTTGTACAATAACATGGAGGTGGTGACAGTGGATGCTGATGACTACCGGGGCTGGGCTGTTCGATTTGTGCCCGAAGGATACTCCATGACAGTTGCTATGGGTGAGAGGAAAAGCCATTTATGTGGAAAAGTTTTCCAGTCAAATGAATATGAAATATAACTTAATCACTAGATTTATAATTTTGTAATTTAATGCAACACTTTATAACGAATGATCGTCTCTATTTCAGATGGCGAGGACCCCCTGGATATGCATGTGTTTCCACGTATCTGCTTTGTAAAGAGAGACAATCACAGGCGTGCAGCATTTTACCCTCCGGTAGGGTCTGACCTCAAAGATGAGAGCTGGTTTCAAAAGGAAAATCTTCTCAACTTTGCTAGAAAAGTTCTGTCTAGACCTGAAAAACATATGATAGGCACAGACCACTTTTAAGTATTATTGTTTGTGTAATCAGGAAAGCCCTGTCCTAACCCAATGTTTTAAGTAGTCTAACTGTGTATTCTAAACATGTTTTTTAAAATGTAGTTTGAGAGAAATTTGCATAGCAAGAAGATTTTGCAGCTAAAAAAAGTTTTATCATGAAATTCAAGTTATTTATAACATATATGCAATTCAAAATTTTTGCTATCTATCATATTTTGATTTTCTAATTCTGTGGCTAAGTGTCGTGATTTTAGGTATATATATTTATATCTAAAAGTCTGATTTGACCAATTTGAGTATTGGTCCTATAGCTATCAAGATATACATCACGTATAAGCCTAAACGGTATTTGTTTTTTGAGAAACCCAAAACATGTGTTAAGATGAAGAAGAAAACGGTTGCTGCAATTTATTTTGCAAATCTAAATATACAGTGGTTTTTATTTTCTTGGTCAAATTTTGTATTTGCAAAATCATCAAAAAAATAATAATGTGAATATAACCCAAGTTGTCCCCAGAGCCAGTCTTTTATCACTTTTGTTTGTCTATGAAAACAAAGTAAGAATATTATTATACACGAAAAAAGAAATGACAATGGGACTACGCTGCAATATTTCTTGAAAAGAATCAAACTGAATTCTACCAAAATCTCACATCTTCATTTTGAATTCTGTGGATTGCTAGAGATCTATAACAGTGCTGTAAATGAAATAAGAGATGAAATCTCTCAACAATCACCTTGAATTATTGCGAAGAAACCTGTGTTGGGCAAAGAAGTTTATAATACATCCAAGGTATCATATATTTATATTAATTTAACATTTGACAAGGAGATTTATAACACATATCATACATTTAAAAAATGTATATCCAGTTGGTATAGTTTTTCATTAAATTCATATGTTGTAGTTCGGATAGGTTTAATAGGATGTTTTAGTAGACCTATACATATTTATATTTTTATTTATATTGATATTTTTGTATACAGCTGTTTTGTCTGATATCATTCCATCATCTCTATACGAATATGATCAAAACTAAAACGATCTCAAATAGTTTTTGATTTTCATGTTTTCTATCCTGTAAGTAATTTATATGACTTATTGAATTTTTAATCAAACAAACAACTGATGTGACACACGTATTTTAGATGAAGTCAAATACCAGTTACAATAAGCAGGTCTTAAGCACTTGTTTTGATTTTCGTCCATGATCTTACACTCAAAAGATACAACATCAGTAAAAATAATGGTGTTCTTAGAGTTTTTGTCAAGTAGTACATACTATTTTGCCTTGAACACATGAAAAACAAGTTCAAAATACAAAAAGTACGAAAGAGAATCATACCATCTAAAAGGCAAGAATTTTACAAAAACATGTGTACATATTCCTTAAATTTAAGTCAATTTTCAATCCCATAGTTTTTTATGTGTATCTGTGATAACTTGGAAACATAGTATTTTCTGAAATTCATAGTTCTAATGATTTGACATGGATAGATATTGGCTGAACATTATTAAACATCGTTATAACATTATTGAGTGTATTCACTACATTATTATCTGTGTGTGTGATGTTACATTATTGCATGAGTGTATTCACTAAATTATTACCTGTGTGTGTGATGTTACATTATTGAGTGTAGTTACTACATTATTATCTGTGTGTGTGATGTTACATTGTTTAATATTAACAGGGACAGTATATCACTATACGTCCCTGATATTAATTAGTACTAATTGACAACAGTGATCACCTTTCTGTTTGTTGTAACCTATCATTGTACATTATAAAAACAATTTACATAGGAGAGCTGGACCTCTCAAATACATGTACCATATTTATAGTGTTAACGCTACTAAGAAACTGGTTTTCTAGCCACGACATGAGTATACATATATATAATATGTCCGTCTATGCAATAGAAATATTTATGCAGATATATTTCCTTATATATTTAATAATATTTTAGCTCGCCTGAGTCCCAGGCTGCCACTCATGTGAGTCATTTCTATAATAATCCGTTCATTAAACACTTTCCAGAGTTTTTCACATTTACAATTCAACTGAAAAAAGTACTACTGACAGATTTCAAATGAATTTGTCAGAAATGATCCTCAAATGACTGGGAACAAACTTTGTTTCTCTCAAAAGGATCAATTTTTTAAAATGGCTACTATCATAACATTTTTGCTTTACTTTTTGGTTTTTGTATTTATAAATATTAAAATTTCATTCGGAGGAATGAAAAGCATGTGATCCATACTATAAAGTGATCTTTAGTTGGCTCGGGAATCTAAGATGGCCACCATCCTGATTTTTTTTTACAACTCTCTACTGTTAGTTAAACTGTTACTCTTGTGAGCAACAATCCCTGTAAAAAAAATCAAAGTTGTATGGGAGAACCTTTCAAAATCGAAGTTTGTTTCCTAATTTTTTTGTTTGTTTGTAAAGTTTCGTATTTGCCTATACAATTGTCTTTAAATTGCCACTAATATATTTAGCATATTTCGCTAATGTAATGTAAGTAACATTTTACTCTACGCATACATAGTTACTTCCCTTTGACTAATAAAAATTCCGTCCTAATATTTGTGATTGTCTTATTTGTACATATTGTCGGAAAAAAATGTTTATCATTGGTAAGGCGTGACACTAAACATAGTGCTATAGCTTGGGCATTTTACGTCGTTTAGGAAATAATTTACTGTGTTTATTTTACTCGCAAAGAAGTTTTTACCTATGAATTTCGTTGATATCATTTCAGGATAAAAAAAAACTGAATTTGAATATCAGAAAAGTATTGGTGTCTCTAACGTTGAGTACATATATGGCTAGATATATGTCTGCGTTACGTGTTCTAAAGATCATCCTTCTAAATATCCAGAACCCTACCACGGAATTTAAGTCCGTGACCCTACGAAAGTACAGCAGCGATTGTAATCTTCTCTCTAAAACTGAAGGTTGCCCAGATACTTCAGTATTTTGTAAAACTAATAATAATTCAAACACAAAAAATGTTTCTGTAATCCCTGTAATTTATAACCATTATAAATGGTAACTTTACGATAAAGAGATATTCTAAACGTGGCTGAATCTCTCATATAATCCGACGGCAATTTATCATACATACAGTTATAATTACCTCCCCTTCATTACAAGCTAGGGCCAGGAATTCGAAACTACCACTAGCAGATGCTTACAGCGACTGTATTGTGATCGGAGCACAGGGAACTGATAATCTGTCTAACTAAGGTGTTTAGAGGCGTTTTGCACATTTTAGGAGCTGAAATACCCCCCAAAGGATGATAATACAGGAATCTTATTAGTATTGGGGGTGGCATTTTTACAGAAAATTAATTTAAACAGCTTAGTTTGGGTCCAAATATTTGCTAACAAATTCTCAGGTCCCAGTGGATCGGAGGTCCGGGCTTCATTTTCCGGTCTGACCATGATGAAGTTATACATTGTTGCCGACTTTTTCCCGCTTAAGTTATTTTTTCATAAAAGTTCCACAAGGTACGGGGTATCTTTTCCGAAATTGATTTTGATAAAAAAAAATCATGCTAGAAAATGGTTTCCAATCCATCCATATAGTTACATGTTTTTGGAAGTGGTACGTAGACCCTAAAGGGATGTTAGGTTGTATATGGAACTGTTAAATATGTATGATATTGAAGGGACAAATGAATACACGTATCACTGACCATATATTATTTAAATTCTGCGTAAAAAATAAAGTTGGATGAGTGCATATAGGTAAGTTTTGATAGGAACACAATCTTTAAAATGTCACCAGGAATGATTTAAAAGGTAAGGGTTGAGCATCATCCACCAAGGTCATAAAGCCTTTTCCTTTTCAGTTATGCTAATAAGGAACTAGACACTGCAGCGAATTATATTTAATAACATAAAAATCGCGTACACGGTATTTCGTAGGATTTCTTTACTAGTAATCCGATATCTGTCGTGTCACTGCTCAATATCTGTATGCCCTTTTGTGAATCAATTTTGTAGGAATGAAAGTGCGTGGTACGTAATTCATATAGAGGCCGGGATTATTTGTTTAATCCTAAAAATGAGATGACCAGCATCTTGAACATACATTTACAACTTAATCTCTCTGGTGTTATTTGAACTAGTATGGCCCATTTGAACGATACTGCCTTAAACAGTGTGCAAAAATGTCGTGAATTGTTTTTGTAAGTTCCATATTAGGAATAAGGTTTATTAGTTTGGTATGAATAATAAAGACTAAATTAAACTTATATTGCGAGTTTTCGAAAACATCCGTTTCCTTTGTCAAACTTGGTCTTTATCACGCCATAGTTACTTCCCCTTGACTTACGAAATAATCCCATATTTATACTGTAATAATTGTTTCCTATTTTACAGTATAACCCATGAATATTTGCAAGACATACATCCAGTAAATATTGTTTACCATTGATTGTTTTCTTACTCATTCTGATAACTTAGGCATGTTTAGATAAACGCACAACTAGCATAATAGCTCTTGTACATCTGAAAAAGCATTCTTGAAATCTTCGAAAATTGTGTCAAATCAAGAGATACCCCCAAAAGACAGTACTCATTCATTTTCAGAAGAGGCCGTGTACTACATTTTAGCCAACATTTTAAAACGGAGAAGACGTATGCTTTTTCCTGATGGAAGTCGTTACAACATAAAAACTGACCTAGTGGCGTATCCTCAGAGTATTGGAAAATCTCGTTAAGTGCTCCGATGATCTTCCTTCTAGATATCCTGAACTATACAAACGTACAGTAGCGATTATAATCTGTTCTATAAGCAGACAAACGATTTATAAAACCATCAAACATTAAGCTGGCAGATATTTTCAAAACTGCAGGTTGCAAAGATACTTCAGTAATTTTGTAAAAAGTTAATAAAAATGCTACATTATCATGCCTGTAATATAAAACGTTATAGATAGAAATCTCCCGATGAAAGCTACGAGAATCTACGAGAAGACCCATTCGAAAATTGTTTTTTTCTAGAATGAAATATCCGCAGATAATTACTATCAATCTAAATATGAAAACTTTCTATTGTAGCTTCAATTATTTGCAAGTTCAATCAGGCATAGTTCGCGAAATTAAGTACATGCGAAAATAAAGTGTTTTACAGCAATCGATAGTCTTTCAATATGCTGTTCTCTCGGAATCAGGAAATTTGATATAATTGATCTTGGTGTTAGTATGATGCTAATTTTAAAAGTTCGAAATAAGTCACCTATTATCCAACCGATTTATTGGTGAATAGGTTTCTGAATCATCTTACCAATTTTTATTAGTCATATGAAGATATCGGATGCCAAATCCAGCTAGCATTATCTCAAACAAATATCTTAGTGTAAATAGTTTCATATTCAATAATCCAACATTTTTGTTACATACTTACGTTTTCAGAGGGATGGGAAACAACCTATTATTAATTACACAAATATCTTATAAACTTGGAAATTTATCATGAATGTTGATTCATTTAAACTGACTCTTCCATATTTTCATAAAAGAGTTTTTTTCATGATTCATCTTTTTTGATTATCGAAATTTATTATCTTTCAGGCTTTCACGATAATGGAGTAGAATCTTTTGATAATGTTCACACGGAATTTCCGTACTTTCGTTGTGTGGTCCATTTGTTAGCAATATCTAACTAGTTTTTTAAGGGCACTGATAAGTGTCTTTTCATAGTGAATTCCTAACAATGCCATACCAACCGTGAAAATGTAACAATTTCAGTTCAACCGTGAAGATGGGGAACATGCATCGTAGACCTTCCGTATCTCAACACACGTGTCGTCTGAAAAAACTTCGAAAATATGATACTGGGTTTTTACAGAATATTTGATGTAAAATAAGAACCGAAGGAGAATTTAGAGAACACATAAATTGCCGGAAAAAATCGAAAATTTTCGTCTTTTCATGTTCTATTACCTGCCTATACAAGCATCGCCTCCTTCCTCCCATCAGTCAAAAACGTATTGCTTAATTTGACCTGCTACTTACAGCCTTCAGTAAAGATATTCTTGGTTTTTGTATGAAAGGTCAACGGGTATCTCGTAAATATGACAGAGCAGTATCCCTCTTTTTATAAAGTTGTTGATAGGTGGTCCTCCTATAGGGCAAAGTTTGGGGTTAAATCTCACGGAAAGTGACAGCGATAGTCATAAAAACAACAGCATCGTAAAGATAAAAACTAACTTACTTCTACAGCTAGGTTAACTGACAATTGTCTGTCCTAGCAGTCCATATTATTGAAAATGTTTATACATGATATACTTTTACAGACAACAGTGCATCAATTTTCAATATAATTATATATATATTGAAGGAGAAGGGGCGGTAAAGGAACTGTTTACTGTTCTGGGGGAAAAAGTGGTGTCCTCTCCGAAATTTTAGTTAAGGTTCATAATGCTTTTCCTTTTGTTGTCTCCTTCGTCCCTTTTATGGTATCTTCGTTTTGACCCGAGTTTAAATATTACTTTGAACAGTTTTTTTAATTCAATAATCGAACAGGTTTATTGCAGATATATTATTTCAAACTTGTAGGGACGGGAAACAATCTTAGAGATTGTACTAATTCCTAGTTTAATTGACGGTGTGATATATTTTGTCCTGGTATTTTAATAGTGTGATTTATTTTGTCCTGGTGTGATAACGGTGTGATAATTTTTGTCCTGGTATTTTAAAAGTGTGATTTATTTTGTCCTGGTGTGAAAACGGTGTGATAATTTTTGTCCTGGTATGTTAACAGTGTGATATATTTTGTCCTGGTATGTTAGCAGTGTGATATATTTTGTCCTGGTATGTTAACAGTGTGATATATTTGGGCCTGGTATGTAACAGTGTGATAATTTTTGTCCTGGTATGTTAACAGTGTGATATATTTTGTACTGGTGTTAACGGTGTGATATATTTTGTCCTGGTGTGTTAACGGTGTGATATATTTTGTCCTGGTATGTTAACAGTGTGATATATTTGGGCCTGGTATGTAACAGTGTGATAATTTTTGTCCTGGTATGTTAACAGTCTGATATATTTTGTCCTGGTGTTAACGGTGTGATATATTTTGTCCTCGTGTGTTAACGGTGTGATATATTTTGTCCTGGTATGTTAACAGTGTGATAATTTTTGTCCTGGTATGTTAACAGTGTGATATATTTGGGCCTGGTATGTAACAGTGTGATAATTTTTGTCCTGGTATGTTAACAGTCTGATATATTTTGTCCTGGTGTTAACGGTGTGATATATTTTGTCTTGGTGTGTTAACGGTGTGATATATTTTGTCCTGGTGTGTTAACGGTGTGATATATTTTGTCCTGGTATGTTAACAGTGTGATATATTTTGTCCTGGTATGTTAGCAGTGTGATATATTTTGTCCTGGTATGTTAACAGTGTGATAATTTTTGTCCTGGTATGTTAACAGTGGGATATATTTTGTCCTGGTGTGTTAACGGTGTGATATATTTTGTCCTGGTATGTTAACAGTGTGACAATATTTGTCCTGGTATATTAACAGTGTGATATATTTTGTCCTGGTATGTTAACGGTGT